AAGAAAAACATGGAACTATTAAAAAAAAAAACAGCAATTAGAAAGACAAAAGAGTAATGCTAAGATTACAGAAACAGATTAAAAGGGCAAAGTAGATTTGAATCAATGAAAGGCCAAATTAATGAACTTGAAGACCAATCTCTTGGATAAGCACTGAGCTGCTAATCACAAGGTCAGCAGTTTAAACCCACCAATCTCTCCCTGGAAACCCTATACAGGGTCACTATGCGTCAGAATTGACTTGATGGCACTTAACAACTTAACAAGATGAACAATCAAAAAAAGAACTTTAAAAAAATCTGAAGCCTAAGATTCATATGGGATACTATCAAGAGGAATGGACCACACATGATTCGAATTCCAGAACAGGAAGTATATATATTTTCTGTATATATATAAAATTGTCTAAGAATTTTTGGAAGAAAACTTCCCTAACATCAAGAAAGATGAGAATATAGCCACTCAAGAAGTTGAATGAATCCAAACAGGATAGATCCCCAAAGAAAATCACCAAGACATAATACACTTTTTAAAACCAAAAACAATGAAAGAATCCTGAGAGCAGTTCAGGAAAAACAAAAAGTTACCTACAAAGGAGAACTGATCATTGTAACCTCTGATTTATCAGCAGAAACTAGACAGGCATATATAAAACTCTCAAAGGAAAAAAATGCCAACCAAGCATCATTTATCTATCTAATCTGTCTATCAAATATGATGGTGAAATCAGGACATTTTCAGATAAACAGATAATAAAATAATTTGAAATGCCAGATAATTTTACACAAATTACTACAGGGAATTCTTCAGACAGAGACTGAACAACAGCAGCCAACAATCTGAGACATTATCACCCAGAACTCAATCCTAATATAGAAATATTCAGATTCAAAGAAATCTACAAGACTGAAAATAGGGACCCAGAGAAACTAGTTGCAGCAAAAATAGACCATAAAGGTTTCTTTGGTTGTTTTTTTTAAAGTGACTAATGTAGTTACAGAACTTTCAAAGGAAAAGGAAATCAAGTAGATTTCAAGTAAATAAATAAATGAAAAATATACCTAGCTCTAATCCTAAAACTAGAACAAGCCTTACTCCTAACTCTAGCTCAACCTCTATCCTTAACACTCACCTAGTTCTAACCATAACACTAACAACAACAACAACAACAAAAAGCACATAGAGATTTATAAAATGTAGATTCCCTGTTATCTCATCCTAGCAGATAATGGAATGGAATTAAAAACTTCAGTGAAGAACTAAAACACATTGACCCTATTTCCAAATCATTTGCTAATATCCAAAATGCAAAACATAAAATAAAATAGAAAATGGACAAAGTAAGGAGCTACATTATTATAAATAATTTGCTGTAGTGAACCAGCATAAATGTAAATGACTGTGATTTGTAGATGAAATTACTTGTGGCTCAAATATACATTGAAATCGAACCTCCTCTACCTTGAGACCAGAAGCACTAGATTGTGCTCGGTTACTACTACCCAACAACAACAAAAACAACAACTACTACCCAAAGTTCTGAACAGGATCACAATAGACGCATCCTGATTGAAGAGAAAGAAAATAATGACCAGAACCTCAAACAGAACATTAGTTTCATTGAATCAGGAAGAATCCTTGAAACTACTGCTTTGAGATAACCTTAAAACTTGAATAGAAACTATCTCCTGAAAGCATCTTTCAACTAAAAAGCATATTAGCTCAAAATGTAAGCAGTTTCATTCTGAGAACTGTGCTCTTTTAATAATAACTGCTCTGGAAGGGATCACATTAGAAGGTCCTGGATAGAGTGGGAGACAATGTGGAACAAAATCCAAAACTATAAAAACAGACCAGGCTTATAGGTCAGAAAGAGATTGGACAATCCTGAGCACCATAGCTTTAGACATCCCTTCAGGTCTGGAATGGAACCCACCCCTACAACCAATTTTTCAGCTAACCAGTAGATATGCATATAGGGAGGACAACAACACAAGTAAGGTATGCTCACTAAGGAATGGTCAACCATTAAAGATCAAAAGGGCAACATTTACCTAAGGACTAAGTTCAGAAGGGTGGGGAAGGAGCTGAAGCTGTTAAGTACCGTGGAGTCGGTTCTGACTCATAGCGACCCTGAACAGGGTTTCTGAGGCTATAAATCTTTACGGGAGCAGAAAGCCTCATTTTTCTCCTGCAGAACAGCTGGTAGTTTCAAACTGCCAACCTTGAGGTTGGCAGCCCGATTCGTAACCACTACGCTACTAGAGCTCCTTGGGAATAAGGGTGGAAAGGAAACAAGAACAAGAGGGGGGAAGTGGGCTAACTGTTGATACATGAAGGGATTGCAATCATTGAGATGAAACAAATTGTATGATATGTTTTATGTAAAATGGATGGTCTTCTCTGTAAACCTTCTTTTAATTTACAATGAAACTTTCAAAAAAAAAAACAAAAACAATTAAAAGGCTAATAGTATGGCACCTGCATCTTAAGCATTATATAAGTGTTAGTTGATGTCAAAGAGGCCTAGCATGGCACTGTAGGATAAGCGCTGGACTGCTAACTGCAAGGTTAGTTGTTCAAATCCACTAGCTGCTCCTCAGAGATCCTATATAGGATGACTATGACTCAGAACTGACTCTACGACACTTATCAACAACAACAGGTGATGTCAAGACTCCTATGACTTTGCTAAGGATAATTACTTTTATTCACTGAATGAACTAAATATCTAGATGAAAATAATTATGAGTCCAAATGACATCATGAAACATAGATGGAAAGTCTGAGGATAATGTGATTAATTAGTATGAGTGGAACAACAAGAAAGAAAATAATGATATTGCTGATACAAACTGAAGAATGTAATCAATGTCATTGAATATTATGTGGCGAAATTGCTGAGTGGGAAGCTGTTTTGGTGTATATACTTTCACCAAAAATGCAATAAATTATAATAAAAATATATTGGAATACATGTTTAAATGATTATTTGAATAACAATCTTCCAGATATAAAGACATTACATGTCGGAGGACTCTCAGACAAGGAAGTACTGTTCAAAGCAAGATTCTCATATAGACCCTAAAACAATGAACTGTACCCAAAAAGTCCCTCTTCTTACATGTCTTATACAGAATATTTTCTGTCTGTCCTTCATGCCCCTGAAAGATTGCCTGGGGCTTTCCTAGGCACTAGAGCATTTTTGATGAGGGAACTTGACTATTGTTATGATAGTTCTGCAACTCTGTATTTGATTAGATAAATAATTCAGGTTTATCAATGACATTTGATGCCATATAAATAATTTCTCACATGTGTGTATACACCCACATACATACATATATTGTCTCATTCAAAATAGTGAATCGTCTTTCTTAAACGTATCAGTTAGAATTAGATACAGAATGGAACACAAGTAAACACAGTATTTCACTAAGTGATAATTTTGTGCTTTAAAAGAAAATATTATTTCATACACCACGTGCACTATCAAGGGGTATAAACGTGGTTTTACAATATAGATTGTTTACTAAGTAGGTTGCCTCTATGTGTTTAAACTTGCCACTAAAAAGAATTATTTTTTGGTGTGTTAACCTTAAAATTCCATTTGATTATACAATTAGACAGAGTGCCAATATTTCTTCATCTAAACTTTTCATAGTACATAATCTATACCACGCATGATACATATAACACACTACAAATGTTCAATAAACATGACAAAATTGTTGATTTTTTTAAATGACATAATCTTCATAGCCAAATTTTATAAGACCTTTAAAATGCCTTAATATATTTTAATGTGCAAGCAAAATAACCATAAACATATCTATCTGTACATGTTTTCTCCTTTCCTTTTAAAAATGAAAGTTTAAAAAAAAAAGTCCAGAACCACCAGACTTGCAGTCCAGTGTTTATCCTACAGTACCATAGCAAGATTCAAATTACATGACTTCAAAATTACACTACTTCAGTAGTACTTATTGGAAACAGGTTCTAAAAACAATTATTTGGGAACTGTCTTGTGGAAGAATGCAGTTTATACATTTGAAGTAGGTTGAGGCATTTCGGCATAAGCAGAATTTAAGAAAATGAGACTTTATAGAATCCCTCATTTGTTTCTAATATTCAAGTACAGTTTTAGTCAAATATGTGTTTTACATCATTAGCAATTACCATATGCCAATTGCCACTGGCCATATCAAGAAGAAAGACACATTCTTAACCCTAAATAGTTATTTATTGAACTCTAAGAATTCATACATTATCCTCTGAAACCCATTATCGTTCTAAGCACAGTATTAACAGACTTGGTAACTATTAGAACTACATTTTTAAAGCAAATTTTAAATGCAGGTAGGATTAATATCCAGACAATATGCACCGTTATAAAAGTACCTTTTATTAAATTATTAAAATACCTCCATAACAAAACAAACATATCAGTTGGTAAATCACCACTGTGTAAAAGTTCCCCAGATGTCCCATCTCCTGGGATCCCCAAGTTCCCTCACAATGAATGCAGCAGCAAAAACAGGAGCACCTGTCATAGCAGGAAACTTCTAGAAGCTTGTTCTAGGCGTGCAGCCAACATCTGTTGGGTCAGCGTCTTTACTGTGCTACTCGTTGAAAACCACATTCAGCTGCTACATGTAAGAACAATGGGGCAATCTATCTCCATAAAGCTTGGAAATCCTATGGGGCAATTCTATCTAGCCTACAAGGTTTTTTGTTTTGTTTTGTTTTGCCTTTGTGTGTGCCTTAAAATCAATGAAATAAAGTATTATGAATATCATCCTCTACTAATATTAATAATCTACTGTTGACAATCTAGATGAAGCCAGATGTAACACTAAAAAGGAAAAAAACAAATTTAGCACATCATTCTGGCTCCGTTTTCCACAGATGGGCTAGAAACACAAAACTTCAATCATATTCTCTTCCTTGCACTATTTTAAATGCTGAAATGAAGTACCAAATTAGATACTTTTAATTACCTTCAAAACCATCATTATCAATGTCGCCAAGATTAGCTATAGATTCCCCAAATCTTGCAGCATATTTGTCACTTCCAACGAGCTCTGTTTCCATTTCATTCATTACTGCTCCCTAGATAGAAAAGGGAGAAAGGTGTCATTATAATACTCCTGACAACTTTACACCTAATTTACTGTTGTAATTGATTATGGATTTTCCCCTAATGCTTCAAACAAGTTGGACAAACTACAGACTGAGCTTTAGTACACACATTAGTACAATTCAATAAATACTTATTGAGTATGTCAACACATGTAATGTATGATTAAAGCTCAGAGAACATAAAAATTGTCAAATGCATGATCCCTAGCTTTGGAAATCAATAAATCATTTTGATAATTCAATTTAGTAAATATTTATTGAGCTCATACTAACAAGAGTGCACTGTGCAAAGCTGTCTGCAAGGGGGCTTCAAAATGTTTGTGGAAAAATTCCAATGCTTTTCAATTCCATTTTTCCATAAACTTCTTGAATACCCTTCATATAAGAAACATTTCTTTCGCTCAAGAAGTTCATAATTGCAGGAAATGCTTAGCACAAACATACGAATGACTTAGGAGAAATTAGAAATTCTTTTGGAACATTAAGAAGCAAGGTGAGCAAATTAAGAACCAGAAGAGATTTCATAAAAGAGATGGCACTCAAAGTAGGTGTTCAAGGTTTGGTTCAACTTGGACATGCAGGAAAAGCATCTGCAAAACACACATCTTAAAGAATTTAGCTATAAGTAAGTTGAGAAAAAGAAATCAGATTAGTCTCAAGGTGTGGGACTTTGAATGTCAGGGAAAATTTACTCTTAATATAGGGATCCAGTGAGGCTTTTTGAGTGGAAGAGTAAAAGAAATGGAGCAGCTCTTACAATTTTAATTTAGAAGTAGGAGGATAAAAAGGAACGACAAAAGGATAATAACTGTAATTTTCACATATAATGTGCCTACACAAATAAGACAAACACACATAAAACGGACATAGTGTACACAGGAAATTAATTCATGAGGGGTTATATGTTTTGCAAAAGCTGTCATAACGTGCACATTACTTGCATAAAAATATGATATACCATAAGTTTGAAAAGCTGAAATGAATTATGAAATTAACCCTAGCATTCTTTTGTAGGAGGAGTCCTGGTGTGGCTCTGTGGGCTAATGCATCAGACTGTAAAGTCGTTTGAACTGCAAGATCGGCGGTTCAAGCTCACCAGCTGCTCCTTGGAAACCCAATCCAGGGTCGCTATGGGTCAGAATCGACTCGATGGCACTTAGCAACAAACAACAACAACAACATCCTTCTGTGATAATGAGCTCTGGTAGCATAGTGGTTATGAGTCAGGTTAATAACCTTAAGGTCAACAGTTCTGCGGGAGAGAAATGAGGCTTTCTGTTCTCATAAAGATTTACAGCCTCAGAAACCCTATGCAAGGCTGCTATGAGTTGGAACCAACTCCTTGGCATATACCACCACCACCACCACTCAACTGTGGTGCCTCACAGAAGTCTTGAGTGAAGCGCAAAAAGTAGGTTACTCACGGAATTCCTCTTTTGCCCTTCAACCAAAGCAGTTCCCCTTATATTTGCTTTACATATTAGAATTGCTTACAATTTCAATGGAAAAAAGAGATCCCAACTCATCCTTTCTAGGTGTATAAACTACTGTTTAAACTGTTCTCACCAAGTGTAGTTTTAAAGGGAAAGAAAAATAGAAACTAGCAGAATGAGGAGGTAGTTAAATATAAGGAAGACCATTTATGGAGAGGAAGGATGTGACTTGCCTATAAAAGAAAAAATTATTTCCTGATAGCACAATTAATATTATTCTAATGATCACCTTGTAGAAGATGAGCATGTACTATTACATCTACATTTAAACACAGCTTCAGAAATCCCAGTGCAAAACCTTCTTGCTCTACGGTTAGTACTTAGAGAACCTCTCAGCTTTATCAAATGAGTGTTTGCTCTCACAATTCATCTGATGGTTAGTATAAGAATTTATCAAATTCTCTGAAATCACTAAGCAAGGTTAACAACACCTTATGGAACATAATTTAGTTTGGTGACACCTGGTTGACTGAAAAAATTATTTTCCATAAAAAATGATCCAATTTTCTCAGAATGCAACTCTTCTTTAAAATGAAGAAACAGGCCAAGAAGACCCCATTAAGACCCTATCAATTCTTTGTTTTGATTTAATGTTAAAGAGCTAGGTTGGCAAGATAAAATCAGCAAACTGAATTACCAAGTCATCAATTTTTATGCCATAATATTATTTGCAATTTAAAAATCACATCCTAAGCAGTGATTACCTATCTCCACAACTAACATAACCACTTTGAAATAAATGATGACAATTTTATATTCATTCTAATCAAGAATATAATCTATAGGGATTGCGCAAATTAAAATTTTATCAAGACACACCTTATTTCTAAAGTTTCAAGCCAAGAAATAAAAAATAATTAATATTTATCTTTTAAATCTATTATTATATCATTTGTTACATATTAGAATACTATAGTTTATGAAAAGATGTGAGATTATTCACTACAGAACCAATTAAAAATTCACATTTTGGAGGATTATGAAATAATTTTTTAAAAATCAGATCGGTATAATAAACCTGAAAAAAGCTTGAACTACTGGAGTTAAACTGTGAGAAGAAAAGCTCCAGAACAATTTATCTCATACTTTGGAATATCAAAATGAGACGGCTGCCCATTCATCATTGTGTTCCATTTATTTTTAGAGCATCAGTGCAATATTGAAACTTGGTCTTTGAGCAGCAAACAAACTTAAGAATCTACAGTTTATCATAATACTGGAATTAAGAATCATTTCACTTTTGATCATTATTCCATAAAAGACTTTGAATTTGTGGGCCAATTGGACATACCACGCCAGAGTTGATGTACACAAAAACTCTTCCTTCTTCCCTGATGGTGCTCTGCATGGGTGCTCCCACAAGTAGATCTGAGAGGCCATCTGCATTGAGGTCCACTGCACAGATGGAAGCTCCGAAATATGATCCAAGCTGCCTCAAAGCAAACCAGATCCAATCATTGAGAAAAAAAGCAGGTCTACTTGAAAAAGCTCTCAGTGATACTAAAGGTAGAGATATATTACCTTTTTACCTTTCATTTCATATACAATATTTAGCTCTTTTTCCTCAATGCTGAATATGTATGCCTGCAATTGGGGAAAGAATTAGAAAGGGTTACACTGCTTTCACTTAAAACACAAAAGCAAAAACAACTTACTTTCATTTGATCAAAACATCAGTTTTCATAATTTATGAACTATTTACATACTAAAATCATTTTAAGAGTGATACAAAAGGTTTAGAGGCCCACATTCACAGAAAAATGTCTTACTTACAAAATTACATTTTCAGATACTATCGTATTGATCCCATAGAAAGGGTACAGAAGCGTTGTCTGTTGCCCTTTTAAAAGGAAGCCTCAGAAAGACTGAGGAACTAACATTCACAGCTCGCTAGCAAAAACTAGCATTAGGAAAAACATTTTCTCTCTCCTCTAGTCTTACTACAAAACATATAGCTGTCTCAATTTCTCTTCAGATATAAAGTTGATAAACAAATTCCTAGAACGTCTTTTCATAATTCTACTTTAAAAATATTTTATTCATAAGAAAGAATAGTTTAATTTGACCTATATAACTTTCTTTAAAGCTTTTCAATTCCATTACTCCTAACAATCAAGCCTCTTTCACCAGTTCCAATACTTAAGAGTGTTATTTATCATCATCTCTAACACTTTACTCCTTGGATTTTTTGCAGTTTCTGCCTTAATATCTCCTTATTTTCTCACACCATTTACTCGAATCTTTGTAAAGAAATAAATACAAAAATGTAAGTCTTACTTTACCAATCTGTTCATGTTGAGGAGCTCCTCCAACCACTTCTGTAGTGTGTGGACTCTGAAAATGACCAGCTCCAACTGAGTATCCTTCAGGAAAAGTGAGACAAACAAGAGAATCATCATTTACAATAAGTGAAATGTGAAAAAGCGCAAAAACAAAAACACGAGCATCATCATTTACAATAAGTGCAAACCCAATCCTAAAATTAAATGAGATGCAATTCAATATGATGACGTTAAACAAAGTTCTAAGGATATTTAGTGCAGTATTCAAAAACTTATTGCTGTAAAATTGTAGACAATTCTGTATTTTCAAAGAAATTGAGTAAACCTCCTATACATTTAGTTTGCTGATCCCAGTGTAGCATCAGGACATGGTAGCTTCTAGGATTACAACAAATATTTTAGATTACATAAAACATAATATTTTAAAACTTTAATAAAAACCTTCCTAATCATAAGCATTTTTGGCATAAAAGTAGTCCTATTATACTAATCTTATGATGATACAAATGGTAAAATGACACCCTCTCCTCACTTAGGACATGGTTGGATTCCAAAGACCAGGTCATTATGTTAAGTTGGCATAATGTAAGAGTCAGGGGCTATTCCTCATCTTAGGTGCCAGTGTTCCCACTCTTTCTGGAAAGCTCCTCTTCACTGTCATGCCTTTCCCACCATAGTGGAGCCAACAGGGATTGAGGGTGATAGTGGTGGTTGGGTTGGTTGTTGTTCACCACTTGCTACCTCCTGGCACGATCCCCTTAACTACCACCACCATGCGAGACAGGGGCCTCCTCTCATTCTCTGCCTGAAGACCCTGATTATCCACCTCCATATGCTGTGGGCCCACAGTCCCATTGTGTCACATGGGATCTTTAATAACAGCAATAATAATAATTGAAAGAAAAGAGGGAGAAGAAAGAGGAGAAAATATCTAATAGTTAAATGATGAGAAATATTCAAATAATTTTTCAGAGGAAGATACATGAGTTGTTTTTAGACCTGTATGCTCCATGTTGGAGTCCTAGGGTGTCACTGTAGGATAAGCACTGGACTACAACGTCTGTTTGAAGTGCAAGGTCAGAGGCTCAAATCCATCAGTGACTTATTAGAAACCCTATACAGGGTCGTTTAACCGACTCGATGGCACTTAACAACAACACTCCATGTTATTCCTTGCCTAAAATAAGGAGCCCTGATGGAACAGTGGTTAAGCACTTAGCTGCTTACTGAAATGTTAGTGGTTCAAACCCATCAGTTGCTCCATTGTAGCATTCTACTTTGGTAAAGATGGACAGGCTCCTAAATACTATTTTTTGTTGCTGTGCTTAAGTACCATCAAGTAGGTTATGATTCATACACCCCTGAATAGGTTTTCCAAGGAGCGATGGTGAGCTTGAACTGCTGACCTTGAGGTTCCAACCGACTTTGTAGTACAGTGCATGAACCCACGGCACCACACCAGGACTCCTCTAAACAATACAGCGCACTTCAACTCTGTCCTATTGGGTCCCTCTGAGTCAGAATTGACTCAGTGGCAATGGGTTTGGTTTGATTTGTGCCTAGTACAGGGTTTTCAGTCCTACTGGCTTTCAGTTAGTCCTTGAAGAAACTATACATACTCAGATATGAATAAATAAGCTAATTTATATAAAATGGTTGCAAAAGTGCCTGGCATGCGGTAGGTATCCACCCAATGTTTTTGTATGCTGTCAAGTTGGTTCTGACTCATAATGACACTGAATACATACTACCTATGTAATAACAAAGATGCTTGGGAGTAATAATAATAATAAGTTTACAAGTGTTTCATAATGTGCCTTGCAAAGAATGAATTCAATTAAGGGTTCTAGTCTAAGAATTACATGTTGATAATTTTGGCTACATATAAACATGCAAAATACTAAATAAACAAAGCTTCATAGCTTCTATCCTTAAAGAGACAATTCCTTAATTCTAAAAATTACTACTATCTTTTAAAATATAATTTTCTTTATTTATAAGTATTACTATCAAGATACCTGTTGTGGAGCTGTAAGATAAACACTGAACTGGTAACCATATGTAATCAGTTCAAATCCACCAGCTGCTCTTGGAAATTCTATACAGAGTCACTATGAGTTGGAGCTGACTCAACGGCACACAACAACAATGCTGTCAATATGGTAGAAATATTTTAGTTGGTCTATTTATACAGTACCTAAATAGCTTCCATATTTTACTTGATTTTGCTTGTCTAAAAATGCCTTATATTTATTTGTAGTTATATTGTAGACAAAGAGAGAGCCAGTCCAATAAGATGATCCTGGGGCTCCCATCACAATTAAATCCTGGAAGAAAAAAAACAAATCACCATCATTTAAAAGTTCAATTTTACCACTTAAAACAACCTCCAGCTACACAACATTTTAAATAAATCATGAAGGCAATGATTTTTAATATTAAATCTCTGAAATTTGAGCAGATTATGAATTTAAAATATATAAATCAAGTGGCCTATAGACTCCCACCTAAAAATAAAATTTCAGAGAAGAACTCTGAAACACTCATTTCCAATTTATCAGGGGACTTTAAAATAGGAGGCAGAAAGTTTTGGGGCGAAAATCAATGTGGTATCTAATCTATGAAAATAAACTGAGTCTAGGTAATTAATAGCCTGGTGCAGCACTGTAGAATAAGTAATGGACTGCAAACCACAAAGTTGGTGGTTCAAACCCACCAGCTGCTCCTCAGAAACCGGGTACATGGTCACTGTGTGTTAGAATTGACTTGAATACACTTAACAATAACAAAAAGGAGACAATCTTATGTTGCAAGGAGTTAAAAGTTGACTTAGTTTATTTCAATTAGCAAAAAAAAAATCACTTGACTAGTTTCCTTAACAATGTTAGCAAAGGGAATTTGAGGCATATGTGACTATAAATAAGAATTTAGGATAAGAAAACTGAGGCAAGGTTGGAATGAGCAGATACTAGTCTGGTAAAGTATGATATCTTTCAGCAATCAATCAATCCTATTTAGTTCTAAGCAATCCTGAGAAGTCCTGGTATAGTGCTGTAGGATGAGCACTGGAAGGCAAGATTGTTTTGAACCACAGTGTTGATGGTTCAAATTCACCAGCCACTCCTTGGAAACCATACACAGGCTCGCTATGAGCTGGACCCTACTTGACGGCACTTAACAAAAACAACGGCTAGCGATCCTGAGCATTTCTTGGAATGTTGATGGGGCATCACAAGATAAGCACTCAACTTCCCAAAGTTTGTCTGAACTGCAATGTCCATGGTTCAAACTCACCAGTTGTTCCTCAGAAACCTTATACAGAGTCACTATGAGTCGGAACCTACTCGACGGCACTTATCAACACAACAAGAAGCAACCCTGAATTTTTTTTTTTTAAGTCAATGCTTCACCTAAAGAAAGCATTATTTTAAGTATTTTTTTTTTACACAGTAGGTAATATTTATGGAAATTGTTAACTCAAGACTTGACACAACATGACTTCATGGACTCAGAAAAAATTAATGAATTTATAATGGGTTCTTAAGAGAAACTGGGGTGCTTGGAGTTTGAGTACAACCGTGACCTTCCACAGTACATTCTAGAGTGTTAGATAGTGAATAATTGAGCTTGGAACTCTATATGATATAAGATAATGCTATTACATTCTTAAATCTTAAATTCTTAGAATTTTAATGAAAAATACAGGCACACATGCTTCCTTTCCTTTTCAACTAGTAATTATAAACAGCATATTTGGATAGAAACGTTCAAATCTTACGTTAACAACTACAAAAGAAAATCAAAACTGTAGTACCTTTTATTTCCATTAAATGCTTGATGAAAAGAAATATTCTTTAATAATACTTAGTCTGGTATGTCGCAACCATTCAAATATTAATATTTTCACAAAATATATACAGAATATTGAGTGGTAAAAACAAAGTGGTGACACTCTCAAACTTAAGAGACATGTTATGCTAAATGTAACACAACTGTTACCTCAAAGAATAATATCTATGTTGTAAACCTTCTGAAGATGTAAGCATTTATATATATGTATTCATAGCAGCTATTTTTTTTAGACTAATACCTTTGTGTAAAAACTAGATATCCCAACTTGACACGATGCAAAATTTTCTCCAAATTTTTTCACATAATCTGAAATGAAATATATAAATATAAAACAATTTAGGATTTCATTAAACAATAGTTAATCTTCATAATTGTATTTTTATTGAAATTTCTTGTAAATATATCTTTTTATTGCTTTACCCTTTTTGTTGAGAATTGGGTAAAGGTTTACAGTGCAGGTCAGTTTTCCATGAAAAAATTCATACGTATTTTATTTCATGTCACTGACTGAAATCCTGCAATGCAACATCACTGATCCCATTGCCTCCCTGTGTTTCCTGTTTCTGTTCCTCCCTCTTTCCTAACCCCTCTGAACGTGTCCTTGGCTAAATGTTGTCCTTTGATCTCAAATGATTTATTATTAGAAGGTGTGTGTACTGCCTGCCCTAATACTAGTGTACACTTTATAGGCCTAGATGAAAATTGAGCCATAAGAGTGATTTCATTTCCAGGTGAGGGACACCAAGGTCAACTGGCAAGTATACCTTTTTAAGATCTATATTTTGCCCTCTCATTTTCTACTAGTAATTGATAAAAAATTTAAAACTTACAACTCTCTTCCATATAAATCTTCAAAATACCCCTATTAAACACCAATAAAAATATCTGCCTTTGTCTATTTTTAGAGGGAAGAACATGCAGTATGTACTCAAAAAATGTTGTCAAGTTAGTATTCAGATAGAGAGAGAATTTTTAATTCCCAGTCCAAGTATGCATTTACAATAGGCTTTCTAGAATTTTCTCAGATGGAATCAAGGTCTGCAGGGAGCTGTGGGTTCTCTGATTATAAAGTTCCAGTGAATTACTGCTGTTAGAACTTAATACATGGGCAAAGTTTTGCTTCCCCCGACAAATTGACCTATATAAGCCTCTATGAAAAAATCATGGACCCTGTCTTTGCTTTTGATCTTGCCATTTTTGAAAACTTAAATAAAAATATTAAATAAATTGCTAAATCACTTACAATTCACTACTTTTTTATGTGTTTGTATCACTTTGCTGATGTGTTTTATTTATTTACTTATTTATTTATTTATTTATTTATTTATTTATTTATTTATTTATTTATTTATTATAAACTTTACCACTTGTAGGTCTCTAATTTATGCCATCTTCATTTTTTTTTTTTGACAGAATGGGACTAGGTATATCCGAACAAAAATAAAAACTCTACTGTGAAAATGTTTTAAACTATAAACTGTTAACCACTAGGAAAAAAATGTATTAAATATACAGAAATCTAGACTGAGTCTTTTTGTGATTATGGATTAAAAACTCATTTCATCTTCATGGCATTCAAAGACAACAGGAATACATACATATATGAATATACATGGTGTGGTGCTGTGGGTTAATGCGCCAAACTGCAAAGCCATTCGAACTGCAAGGTTGGCGGTTCAAGCTTACCAGGTGCTCCTTGGAAATCCTATACATGGTCACTATGGGTCAGAACCAACTGGAGGGCATTTAACAACAACAACATATATATATATGTGTGTGTGTGTGTGTGTGTATACATATATATGTATATACATATATAGAGAGAGACACAGAGAGACAGAAGAGACAGAGAGAGAAAGAGTGTGTCCTGGTGTGGTGCTGTGGGTTACTGCATCAGACAGCAAAACTATTTGAACTGCAGGTCAATAGTTCAAGCTCATCAGTCACTCCTCAGAAACCCTATACATGGTTGCTATAGGTCCGAACCGACTCGACGGCACTTAACAATAACAACTATATATATGATAAAACCTTCCAATCACACTAAATTCCAGGGGTTAAGTTCTTCAATATTAACAATATCAAGAATTGATTCACACACTTCGCCACATTTTATCAACTAATAGAAATGTTCGTGGCCTCTGGGGTGATCATTTTGGTTAGAAAAGTTGAAAACTGGAGTTAACTTACATTCAATTCTTAATTTTCCAAGTATGCATCTTTAAGACGTTTGCTCAGTTATCTGTATCATTCCCCAATCCCCTTTTTTTTTTCAATTTTTTTGAGTTGTGGGCAGACTCAGCAGCTAACAATAACATTAATAACATCCCAAATATAATCATTTCAACTTGTCAACAAAACAAAATTATTACTAAGATATTTCATAGAAATCATTCTTAGTGTTCTTTTGACATTATCCTCAACTTCGTTCTATTCAGTCATTTATTTATGTCCCAGTTCTAGTCTCTCTGGT